CACAATAACGAACTAGATGCTTGCAAGGTATCAGATTATCCATTTACAGATTACTAGGAGGTTATAAAGGGGGAAAATGCACCTTATCAATCAAGGAGTCAGACTGTCCCCAACTAAACCCACTGATCAATTTTAGCAACACTATTGGTGTGACAACAGACGGACGAAGTATGCATTCTGATGTTGTGTAGTATGAAATAAAAAGTATCACCTATGAAATACTCTTAATAAGGATGTTTTACCTGACTTTAAATGACCTTTTATAACTAACTTCCAGTTTACCAGAAATACAGGGGGTGAAGAAATGAATTAAATGACACCATGAAGAAACAGGAAAATTGCCTCAGTTTCTTTAGTAAATCACTGACATTAAAAAAAAAAAAAAAAAAAGCCCAGGGGCTTCCCTGGTGGCGCAGTGGTTGAGAGTCCACCTGCTGATGCAGGGGACACGGGTTCCTGCCCCGGTCCGGGAAGATCCCACATGCCGCGTAGCGGCTGGTCCCGTAAGCCATGGCCGCTGAGCCTGCGCGTCCGGAGCCTGTGCTCCACAACGGGAGAGGCCACAGCAGTGGGAGGCCTGCCTACCGCAAAAAAAAAAAAAAAAAAAAAGCCCAATGACTGTTCTAGATTGAATAGTAATGGTTCCCCCAGAAGAAGACTCTAATATACGGATTTGAGTGTATTTGGGAGGTACTAGAGTACCAGTAGGGAAGCAAGGAAGAGATGCAGGGAAGGAAAGGTGCTAATGCAGGGTTTACTGTTAAGCCAGCTACAACAGTGGGCAGCTGGATCTCAATCTCATGAGGAAACTCTTGGAAATGGCACAAAACATAAGACTCAGAATTACCCCCACCCAAAAAGCAAGGGAGCTGGAACAGTTATATACCAACTGGCAAAAGTCATTTGTAGAGGACTGATCCCTGGGAGTGTTAATTCCTTGGCATGTGGCAAGCAGGTAAAGCAATCTTGTACAGTGGTATACCTAATATATTTGATACTTGCAGTGGATCATGTTTAACCCCTTTCACTATATGAAAAAATTATTTTCAATAATTAGTATGAAATAAAATAATCAGATAGAAAAGAAATACAGTGAAAAAGTTTCTTTTGTTGAACTTTGTATGTATAATCATGCCATTAAAATTTAAAATAATACAGCATAAAATAAGTATTACAATACCAAAAAGCAAAAAGGAAAGATAAATGCTTTCTAAATACATCAATGTGGTTTTTAAAAAGGGGGGGAGACATACCTCCTATTGATCTATTGCAATAATGAATAATAACAATAAAATTTATTTTCAAGCTTTAACTTATACAAATTTGCAAGTGACTTCATCAAAATTATATTCTTCATGTATGCATGTTAAATAGACAGTATAACCTATCAACCCATATTTACTCCTTTCTATCAGTTTTAATTTTGAAAAAATCTCTTTTACATGAAGCAACCCATAAATACTTTGATGGAGATTCTTAAAAACCCATTTCACAACAAATTCCAGAAATCATAACACTGCATATTACTTTGTTTTTGGAGGATGCATGCTTGTGGATTTCAGTTTGTCTCCAGAGTCAAAAATTTCCACTAGAGTATCTTCACCATTCTACTATGCCTGGTAAAAATCTCCATTTTTATTCAGCAAAATAAGATGAAAGGGCTGAATGATAGCAGATATTGACATTATTTGAATCATTGCTTTAGAATGAGCGTCCAGTTCTTGGTAGAAATGATCAGAGTATTTAAACATTGCCTTTTTACTTCTTCTGGCACCTTTTGTCATTTCTCCTGGAATTCTTCAAAATTTCATTCTTTTTTTCCTTGTAAATGTTCATTCCTCTCATTTTCTGTTATATAGCCAATGACCTTCTCTACAATTTTTATGTGCCAATCTTCGAGCATGAATTTTACTATACATTGTTCAAGGTTGATTCTGGCCCTCTGCAAACATTTGTGTCTTACTAACCTCATCTAAAATTTCACACCAAATAATAAAATATAATTCAGAAAACAAATCATGTGGGGCAAAGAACAAATTATGAGTTGATCCCCTTATGTCTATGCTTTCTTTTAGATTGCACAGTATTTCAAAAGCTAACATTAACTTTCAAACTTTGTTATCATTGTGCACACAGCTTCATTTGCCTGGAATAGTCGTTTCACCAACATACCTACATTCAGCAGCATTTTTAGTAGACATGGTGATATTTAAAAGAAAGGATAATTTTTTCCCCAAAGTTTAAAAAAATCACACATTAAAAAGGACTTCCAAAAGTGTGAACTCCATAAAAGTTCGGAGAATATTGTAAAAGGCACAAATAAGGATTTGGAATTAATATCTTTGATTTTTACCTGAACTACAGCATGCTGACCAAACCAAAATATTGCACCTCAGATTTCACTTTGTTTTGCTGTTTCAAATTTCAAACACAAACAAAAATCTCCAAGAGGTCACATACAGTGACAAAATTAACTCAAGTTCTCATTCTTCATCTTCACACTCACTATGCTATTATCATTTATTTCAAATCTGCTGTTTAAACACAGGAATATGTAGTTCCACAGAGGTTGGAATAATGGACGGCATCCTAAGCAAGCTCCAATGATTCCAAACCTTTACTAACTTATTTTTGAAACAAATGCAAGTAGCTGAGTATGCATATGTTGGGGGCCAACTGTATACCTTGGATTGTCCTGAATTAACTTCCATGTGCTTGTTAAGGTATAAGTAATTAAAAGGTGATCATCTGGCTCTGGTTCCAGTTAAGATGGAGTAAGCACATTCCACCTTATCTTTGCCATTGTATGCAACCAAAAAATCCCAGAAAGAACACATGGAACAGTTATCTGAGGACTCTGAAAAGTAAAGAATAGCAGGAGGGCTGAGGAAGGAAACCGGAACTTGAAGAGCCACTAATCCAGTGGTGAGTCTTCTTGTTTTACTCCTCTAGTATCTCTCAGCCTGGACTCAAAGCTTGCCTGAAACCCAGAACTAATATCATATTTAAGGGTGAAAGGCTAAACCTCTCCCCACTAAGATTAAGACATGGCAAGGATCTCTACTCTCATAACTCCCAATCAGCATTGTAGTGGAAGTAAAACTATCCCTACTTAAAGATGACATGATTATTTATGTAGAAAATCCCAAGGAATGTGCAAAAAAAAGCTCCTATAACTAGTAAGTGAATTTAGAAAAGTTACAAGATACAATGTCTGCTTATAAATATCAAATGTTATATCTATATAATAGTACTGAACAATTGGAAACCAAATGTTTAAAAGAGCACTTTCAGTGGTTCCCTCCAAAATGAAACAGTTAGGTATAAATCTAACACAAGAAGTTCAGAATCTGCGTGCTGAAAACTATGAAATGCTGATGAAAGAAATGAAAGAAGATCTACATGGAAGGAGAGCCATATCATGTTCATGGGTTGGAATACGCAATATAGTTAAAATTCAGTTCTTCCTTGAAACTGAAATTGAGCTATACATTCAACACAATTCTAATCAAAATGCCAGCAGGAA